GGGCGCCTGGGTGGCTCAGTTGGTTAAGCAACTGCCTTCGGCTCAGGTCATGATCCTGGAGTCCCGGGATCGAGTCCCGCATCAGGCTTCCTGCTCAGCGGGGAGTCTGCTTCTCCCTCTGACCCTCTCCCCCCCATGCTCTCTCTATCTCATTCTCTCTCTCAAATAAATAAATCTTTAAAAAAATAAATAAATAAAGGAGAAGCAGATCGCCTCAGAAGATGGGGAAGAGGAAGAAGAGGAAAGGTGAAAGGAAAAAGGAGGGACAGAAAGAAAGAAGGACCCTGCCTGGCACATGGAGGCACCCAGAGGCCAGGGCGCCCCTCTAACCCTCAAGGAGTTTAAGTACAATTGAGAACACATGATAAACGTGTGCACCAAGCCAAGAGCAGTTATGGGCTATGGCTGATGTTGACCAGAGGGTGGTGGGAGTCCAGAGATGGGAAGGTTCCTGTGGGTGGTTTGACTCAGATTCCACAGGTTCGTCCTCAGAGATGGACCCCAATTCTCTCATCTGATTAAGTGAGCAAACAGAGGCTCAAAGAGAGGACTGGCTGCACAGTGGCTATATGGTCGGACCAGGACCTAGAGCCAGATCAGAGAAGGCAACATGGAAGCCTAGCGAGTCAGAAGGTCCTTCAAGGATGTTCTCCCATGTTTTCGGTTAGAGCTGAGCAAAGATGGAGAAGTGGAAATGAGCAAGCCTATATATGGAATGTGAACCACCGAGTGTCCTGGTGGAACACCACGGAGTGGACAGACAGACAGTGTGGCCTAGCGGTGAAGGGTAGAGACTCAGGAGTTTTCGTTGCGGCTCTCCTACCTCCTAGCTGTGGAAACTTGGGCAAGTTACTTAACCTTTGACACCTGTTTCCTAATATGCAAAATCATGCTGATAATAATAATTCTTACTTTAGAGTGTTGTTGTGAGGATTAGATGGGCTGTGGTGTGTCTATTTCTTAGACCAGTGCCTGGCACCTAGCAAGTCCTCAACAAAGAGAATGCGGACCACCAGTGTAGTAGGTTAACAATGGAAAGTGGTGTCTGGTCAGATTACAGTGGAGTGAGCAGAACAGTTTGAACTTGACGCTCTAGGCACCTGGGAGCCACATAGGTATGGAAATAATGAGCAGAGAAGCCCCCCTTTATCAGGAGGGGGTACGTTCCAAGACCCCCAGAGGATGCCTGAACCCATCCATGGAGAGTACCAAACTCTACATGTACTGGTTTTTCCTATACATGCACATCTATAATAAAGGTTACTTTATAAATTAGGCACAGTAAGAGATTCACAGTAATAACTAAAAATAAAATAAAACAATTACAACAATACACCATAATAAAAGTAATGTGAATGTCATCTCTCTCTTGCTCTCAAAATACCCTCCAGTACTCTACTCGCCCTTCTTATGATGATGATAGGAGATAATGAGATGTCTACCTGATGAGATAAATAAGGTGAATGACGTAGGCACGTGACATAGCGTTAGGCTACTGTTGACCTTCTCACGATCCATCGGAAGGAGGATCATCTGCTACCGGGCCTCAGTTAACCGCAGGTAACTGAAACCGTGGATAAGGGGAGACCGCTGCATACGGAATGCAGAATACTACCAGCATCCACCTGCATGGGGGTTATTGCTTCTGAAACCCATTCATACATGTCATCTTGATAGGTCCTTAACGGTATATCTGAGGCTGGCCAGCCAGGATTCACATGTTACTGTCATTTTAGAGATGAGAAAATGGAGGCATAGAGAGGTTGAAGCCCGGAATTAGGGAGGAGAGCAAGGAGGCTGAGCACGCATCAGGTCTGAGGCTGAAGCGAGGCCTGGGTCTGATGGAAAGGAAGGGACACGGGGACATCTGCAGGAGGAACATTCAGAAGCCTCCTGCTTCTTCTCTGTGCCCTCCCCTGTGGCTTAAAGAGATGGAAAAGAGGGAAAGTCTTGGGCCTTACTTAAACTGGTAAAACAGAGGAAGTATAATGGTAGCCTTCAGCCTGGGGTAGAAGAAAGTCCAGCTACTCTCTTTGGTGAGAGAACACCAAACTCTCTAATCCTGCAGGTCCGGAGGCAGAGAGGGGGAGGCCGGGCAGGGGAGCCGGTTTGGAAGGCTGGGGTGGGAGCAAGGAGCGAGAAAACGCTGCGCTGGAGGCAACAGATGTCAGGGTGCTCTGAGGAGGGATGAGCCTGGAGCTCAGGGAGAGGGGGTAGGGTGGAGGCCAGGGGAGCGGAGCAGGGGGGGCAAGGCCTCACCTTGGAGGGGAGAGAGGTGAGGAAAAAGAGGAGGAAGGCAGGAGGGGGTGCAGGGCGGCCGAACAATACTACACACTCTCCCCTGAGTCCCGGCACCCCCTAACACGCCCTCCGTCGTGGCCTGAGAGCCCAAAGCCTGTCATCGGGGTGTCTTCTCATAAGAGGAGGGAAATGGGGGCCCTTAGGTTACATGCCTTCAGACTGAGGAAAAATCACAGTAACCACAGGCAGTGTCCCCGCGGCTATCACGGGTCATTTGAGCCTCAGAGTGACCCTGGGAGCTGGGCAGGGCACGTAGGACAGGGGAGGGCAGGACAGGGCATCTCGCTGCCCTCACCTTACACACCAGGGGGCGGGGGCTCAGAGAGCTGAAGACACTGGCCCAGGCGGACTCAGCTGGTGAGAGGCAGGGCCGGGCCTGAAAGCCAGGCCTCACTGAGCACGGCTCTGGGCCCAGGCCACAGCAGCGAAGGAGGCTGAGCTGGTGCCCGCCGGCCGGGTGGGGAGCCCAGGAGGTGGGAGAGCTTCGGGCAAGACGGGTGCTGGCGCCCTCTGGAACAGGGGAGACCTCCCCTTCAAGCAGGCTTCAGCCAGTGCTTTTCCATTTGCTTTTTGGAAGTCTGCCACCAGGGGAGTTGTGAAATTTCACGTGCCTCTCTGATGCTTTGAAGCCAAACCGACTGCGTGTTTATCAGTCCTTTGAAGCCCGGTGTGGGGGACAGAGCATGCGCCTCGCAATCCGACAGACCTGCCTTCTCATCCCGCTCTAGCATTTACGGCCATGTGACCTTGGGCAGCTTAACCTCTCAGAGACTCAGTTTCCTTGTCTGTAAAATGGAGATGGTACCTAACTCATAGTTCTGCACCTGCAAAGGGCAGATTACGACGCCTTTGTCATAGTGTGGGGAAGATGCAATGGAAGTCGTTAAGCGTCTGCCTTCGGCTCAGGTCATGGTCCCAGGGTCCTGGGATCGAGTCCCACATCGGGCTCCCTGCTCGGCGGGAAGCCTGCTTCTCCCTCTCCCACTCCCCCTGCTTGTGTTCCTGCTCTCGCTAGCTCTCTCTCTGTCAAATAAATAAATAAAATCTTTAAAAAAAAAAAAAAAGGTGCAATGGGGGAAAAATGCGCAGAGCCCCCAGCACGAGCCCCACCACCACCGGGGGCCTTAGTAGGTACCGCCTTCCCTTCCCCTCGTACCTGGCCATGTTCACTTCCTCCAGCTCCCCCTTTTTCCTAAAACTCAAATGACACAGGATCAGACAATAACATGAATGTAATAACTGGGAAGACACTCATGAAATCTTCCCATTTCTCCCCTTCTGGGGAATCTCAAAGCCAGCTAGCCACAGTGAGCCCACACCAGGCAGCATGACCTATCATTCGAGAATCTCTGTTGGAGCAACACCCCAGAAAACCACAGGCCAAAGGAACAATGGCCTGACATGTCCTTCTCCCTTGGCAGACTAAGAATCGATAAATATCTACTGGTTTGGAAATGTCAGAAGGGCCCAGTGTAAGAAGCGTATGTTTGGGGGTGTATGTGTTGTGTGTGTGTGTGTATCCTGCTGGGGATGTTCATCTCTCCTCCTCCCAACCTCCTAGGGTTTACGATGTAGCCTTCTTTTAATGATTAACAGCCAGAGGGCAGAGAATAAGGAGGCAAAGAAATATTTGCTGAGCCCATGCGACCCAAGATGGAAACACTGACAGGGACGGGCTGGGTCTGAGCTCTGAGCCTGGCAGGGCAAGGAGAGAGAAGTGAGGCAGCCGCCTTACCTCTTGCTTCCGGTGTGAGCATCTCGAATGAAATTGGAACTGTGCTTATTAATGGAATAATTAGTCAGGTGCATGCAGATATCATCCTGGGGAAAGAGACACAAGTCTGTGGGGTCAGGAGGTAGGGCAGGCCTCCTGCTTCTTCTCTGTGCCCTCCCCTGTGGCTTAAAGAGATGGAAAAGAGGGAAAGTCTTGGGGCTTACTTAAACTGGTAAAACAGAAGAAGTAAAATGGTAGCCTTCAGCCTGGGGTAGAAGAGAGTCCAGCTACTCCTGAGATTGGGTGGTTCACTGCTTGGGAGACATTTCAGGAATCCCGGGGGGTCATAGAGTGCAGGAAGGGGGTGGGGGAAAGACGGGGGCTCGCCCATGGCCTTCTCTCCTCCAGCACCACAGATCTGGGGCACTAGCTTTGCAGTAGGGCAGATCTGGCCATGAGTCGCAGCCTCATCTCTTCCCAGTTCTGTGACCTTGGACAAGTTCCTTCAACTCTGAGTTTTCATTTCCTCATTTGTAGAATGGAGATGATAATCTCTATTTCTGAGGGCTCCTAAGAGGGCTAAAGGAAAGGATGTCTGGACGTCTGCAACCTGGCACATAGTAAGTTTCAACCAATGACAGCCATGTCCACAGTGCCTTGAGAATGTGGACTGAACTGGGATTTTTCATCCCCCTAAGGAGGAAGGGGCAGGGCACATCCCCTGAGCTCACCAGGTTGTCTGTGCTGGGGTGGGAGTAAGAGGTGGTGGCGAAGCGTGCTAGTCCTTCGTTGTATGCAAAAATCCTCAGAGGGTCACAGGAGGTCATCAGCACATAAATCCGTAGGTCGAACTTGAACCCATCAATGATAAAGGGCTGCGAGGAGGGAAGAAAAGTCACATAAGCCTCAGAGGAGAGATTCAGACTTGAAGATTAGTGCCTGATCTTGGTTTTGCCTGGTACTACAGAGTGCGGACTTGGCTGGGGCCAGGGAGGAGGACAAGGCGACTTGACCTGTGGGAGTCACTAAACCCCACTGTGCCTCAGTTTCCTACAGCACAAGAAACTGCCTCCCAGAGACCTCCTGACAACCAAGCAAAGTAACATGAAAAAGTCCTGTGATGGGGCGCCTGGGTGGTTCAGTCGGTTAAGCGGCTCCCTTCCGCTCAGGTCATGATCCCAGGGTCCTGGGATCGAGCCCCACTTCGGGCTCCCTGCTGAGGGAGCTTCTCCCTCTCCCTCTGTTGCTCCCTCTGCTTGTGTGCTCTCTCTTTCTCTCAAATAAATAAATAAATAAATAAAATCTTCCCAAAAAATCTTTAAAAAACATTAAAAGCCCCGTGATGAAGGACATGTTGTCACCATCTAGGGCTGTGTTACATGGCCGTTCTGCAAGAGTGCTTCCTGCAATCCTGGCCAGTCCTTTCTAGTCCACGCACACTTCCAGAGGGCTCCCTCCCTGCGGTGGGCTATATGCCACTGTGACCTTTGACCTCCAGCTATGGAGCAAAGCCGGTCACCATGATCCCTCCAGGACTACTGCCCTCTCCCAAATGAAGTGGGACAACCACAGACTAAAGGTGCCCTCCAGCTGTCATCTCTAGAGGTGACGGGCCAGCCTAGTAAGGCCAGACCAGCTACCAGGGTACAAGGGTGAGGGATGCTCTGGCCCAGACACATGTCCCATCCCTGGTCAGAAGGCCTGGTTTGACAACTTTCAAGGCAGAAGACAGGACTCGGCTTTGCCCGTCACCTGCCTCATTTCCCATAGTGCAGCGGAGCTAGAGCCTGAGGTTGTTGTGGGCGAGAAAGAAATGATCACAATGAAGAAGTACCTTTGAAATATAGAGTTGACAGATCATATCCTCTCCTGGCTTGATATCTTTCACTGTCCGGGTGATGAATATACCTCTCCCTTGGCAGCCCGAATCCGGCTTACAAATGTAAGTCTTATTTTTTCTTGACCTGCTGTAGTTCTGCAAATCCCCCCAGCTACCAGAGCAGCAGGGAGGGAACGAGATACACTGTTAGCGGGGGGAGGAGTGAAAAGGAAGGCTAGCTCTTTATTTAAAAAAAAAAAAAAAAAAGGCAACAACAACAAAAACACTAAAGCTATCTAATGTGACAAAGCTCCAGAGTCAACAGACACATGTCAGGAGATCTGGAAACAAGAGAGACAGCCATGCACATGCACACATGGTGGAGAGAGTGTGGGCTTCGGAGGGAACTCGGGCCTGGATTTAAACCCAGGTGACACCACTCACCAACTGTGTAACCCTGTGCAAGGACTTGACCTCTTTAAGCCTCAATTCCATCATCTACACAATGAGGATAAGGACACCTGTCTTCTGTGGTGGTTAATTACGTGACAGAAGGCAGGCAAGGTGCTGATACGTGCTGCATGCCCGTGAAGGTAGCTGCGATCCAAGTATTTTGGCTTCCTGGGTTTGCAGATAGGAGATGTGGAGTTCTGCACGTGGCTCTAGCCCTGACCGGCGGTGTGACCTTGGATCAATCAGTCTCTTCCCCTACTGTAGGCTTCAGCTCTTCCCCGGGAACACCTCCACTCCAGCCAGAGTATCAGAGCGCAACTACTATCCTTGAACACACTCTGAAGAAAGTATCTTCAGAAGAAGGAGACCGATTTAAGGCATTCTAAATCTCAGTCTTGCTACACTTCTTGTTTTGCATTGGAACTCATTGGCATGGTGACCCCTGGCGACGTCCCTTCACTGCAATCAATGTTCTTCAGTGGCCACTGAAATCTGGAGGTGCCCACTGGCCTGAAGGCAAACATGTTTCCTTCTAAGTTGCTTATGAGTCCTGAAAGTTGTTCTGGACAAGCTAGGGAAGTCTGGGAATCCTGGGGCTCTTGGTTTGGAAAAGCACTGGGCACAGAGGACAGAGTGGGATTCTCACCATGTGAATAGAATTCCAATGGCAATGCCTCTCTGCCCCCCTCCTCCTCATCCCAAAGACCAGACTGTACCCAGGTCACGTTCATGTCATCTCACACTCCCTCTGTTTCTTGCTGGTGTGGTCCAGAGCATTTTGCGTACTAAGCATGGATGCCCAGTTTCAAGATGGATAGAGTGAGGCAGAAGACTGGGAAAGGCTGGCTGCCATCCATGGTCCTGCCATGGAACAGAGGCCAGGTGTCCCTCCTGGCTCCTAATCTGGGCACTAACCATTATCTCACTCCCTCCAGAAGTGCTCAGGGTCCTTAAAAATTCAGTAACTGCACAGTTAAAAGGTTGGAACAAGTTCAAAATCAACAGTGTTCAGGGTCAGAACAAATTCTCATCCCAACTGCAGGCGCAGGCTCCAAGGCACCCAGCCCCTAAATGTCATCTAATTTTTTATAGCAGAGCTTTGTGTTCTCTCAACCTTGGACACACCCTTAATCCCTTCTCTTCCAAGAAAGGAAGAAAGAGATGGGAGATCCTTTGGCGAGGGAAAGTAGCACCGGAAATCCCGAGCAAGAGGGAAATGGAAATCGGGGGTGGGTAGTGCAAAAGGGAACACAGGTGGGCACTCACTCAGCAGGAAGACACCAGGTCCTAGGGAAGAAGTGGAAATCCTTAGGGAACATCTTTAACATGCGGCTCATATTCCTGGCCAGCAAGTCCTTGCGGCAGATTTCACTCATTCCAGGGAAGTGATTGATTTTCTGCAAAGGAAGCCAGAATTCATGAACAACGGGGGCCATGGGAGTACCCATGAGATCCCCTCGGGGGACAGTCCTAAAAGGGGGGGGCCCACTGGGTAGATGCCACACTTCTATTGAGACCCAGCTCTGCCCCGGACAATACCTGGTAACTTTTCATCTCCATCACCCTCTCCAGCGACACTGAGTAGTCCGTCCAGTAGAGAGTCCAGTCATTGGCCTCCCCTCCCTCTTGAAGGCCATACCGCTGGGCGGCCCTACGCACTGCCATGGAGGTGGAAAAAGAAAGGCCTGTTAGCCCAGGGAGTGGGGGAGGAGCACGGGGTGGGGAGGTTATGCTTTTAGATGCTCACAGACCCCGCACTGAAGAGAGACACCGCAGCTCGTTGGGATTGGAAGCCATCTTGCCTGGTCTGAACACACCATTGCCAAGAAAGGAACATGAAGAGCTACTGAGGCACACAGCCAATACCCGGTGAACCCCACAGAAGGTTATCTGGGAAGAATGTTTTACCCGCCCTGGTTTCCCCTTGCCAGGAAGTAGGCTTCTGGCTTTCCTCCAAACACTAAGCACAGAATGTTCAGGGAATATAAACTAATCCTTAACATCAGCCAGAGCCAAGCTTAATTAGGAAGGTAAATTGACAAAAAAAAAAGTATACAATGCATTTCAAAACCACATACATGCTATCACATCCTTCTTTCCCTGTCCCTGTTAGCATTAGTAACTGGGAGCTGACTCCAGCACAGATTCAAACGCCTTCGAGGGCCTGGAAAGGAAGAAGTGCCCATGGTGACCCAGGGGAGTCAGGACCAGTGTAAAACATTCAGATTTGAAATCCATACAATGATAAGGCTGCTCTGTAGTTCGAGATAGGTCTGTAGGTCATCTTCAGCCTGTGGACTGCCAGTCTCTAACTCGTGCTCTAACAAGGAGAAACAGCTGCCTTCTCTACAAATCAGATTCCCAAATAACCCTACAGAGGAACTATAGAGAGCTGAAATATACACCACTGTGGTCAAAACCCACATTTCCTTGGAATGAGATTCCCAACTTCCTCAAATAGTTCATTGAGGAAGGAAACAACGGGATGTGGAGACACCCCCTTTCCATCCTCAAGAATATACAAGAGTAACCCTTCCCAACCCTTTGGGGGTAATCCACTGGGTCCCCATCGTGGATCCCTTGAATGCAGGTGCTCACCGCTCTCATATCGGCAGGTGGAGAGATTGATCACCAATCATCTGGAAAGAGAAAAAGGAAAGCAAGACAGACAGACACACTTGCCAGAACAGATGACCACACCCAGAAGCATCCGGTCCCGGGCGGGGCTGCATGAAACCCATCCTGCCACACTGAGCCTGGTCTGACTACCCCCCATGACTAAAGACACGAATCCCAAGGGTCGCAGAGTGGGGGAAGACAGGGACTCCACCAGTGCCCCACGCGGAGGCAGAAATTCTGTACTGCGGTTGTAACTACTTCTGCTTCAGCTTCATATGAACATCCTCACCTCCTCGATCCTTTCACTCCAGTGGCCCATCAGGAACGGGAAGTGAAAAATGTTTGGGCCAAGTTACTTCATGGTCTCCCTCCTCTTGCCCCCCACTAAGGGAAGTGGTGAGTTAGAAAGTGGACAAGCTTTCCAGCATCAGTGAGTCTGAGGAGTGATTCGTTGTCCCCGAAAGGAGCAAGGTGTGACGGAATAGTAAGTAGAAACCAGAACGCAGAAGCCACAGGCAGATCCTAAGAAGTCAGCGTCAGTTTCATTATTTTTAAAATGTACTAAGTTCCCAGGACAATAAGCACTTCCTTAAAATGAGGAAATTGTCTCTTCCCATACAACTAAAAAAAAAAAAAAAAGCACTCTAAACACAAATAGAATGAAGATTAGGACAAGGTGTAGTTTGAGATTACACACACCATTATTTGATTCTATAAAACTGATCATCAGGGACACCTGGGTGGCTCAGTCAGTTAAGCTTCTGCCTTTGGCTCAGGTCATGATCCCAGGGTCCTGGGATTGAGTCCCGCATTGGGCTCCTTGATCAGCAGGTAGCCTTCTTCTCCCTCTCCTTCTGCCTGCCACTCCCCCTGTTTGTGCTCTCTCTCTCTCTCTGACAAATAAATAAATAAAATCTTCAATCAATCAATCAATCAATCAAACAGATCATCAGGTGGATTCTTCTCATATGAACTGAAAGGGTGTGATTTTGAAGGTCCCAGCACACAACATCTCTTTAACTTCTCGTTAGTGACCAAGGTCCCCTCCCCTCCAGGTCCCTTCTGCTCCCAACAACATGGATCCCCATTCCCCGTCTTTTAGTCCTAACCTCTTTTTCTTCCTCTTCTTCTTGCCTTGCTGCTGGGCATTCTGAAGCCCCTCTTGCGCCCCAGTGTTCTCGCTCACGAAAGCCAGGGTGATGATTTCTTTCGGATCTTCTTGGGAACTGTCCTCCCGCTCTTCCAAGTCTGCCCCTTCCTCGCCATCCAAAGGCAGCCACTGGAGCATCTCCCCAGCCTGGGAGGAGGCTCTGGGGAAATCCCTGCGCACCCTGGGGAGAGAGCAGAGGGAGCAGCAGTTACTTGGATCTGCCTGCAGGGGGACCCCCTCCCTTGCTCATGTGGGTGGTAGGCCCACTCTGAGACCAGGCGCTGATTGCCGTGTAGAAAATGTCACCCCACCTCCACGGTTGGTACAAGCTGAGGGAGAGAGCTGATTCCACCTTGCCCTTGGGGACTCTAACCCTGGGGACTCACTCAGCCAACCCTGGCTTTGGTTTTTGCCCTCCTGGAATTTTCAGGAGCAGGCTGAGAGGTTTTGCATGGCACCACCTGGTAAACAATCTTATTAAAGTGAGTGTCTGGAGACAGCCTCAGAACCAAGCCCTAAGCCTTCCCAACTGAGGGAGTTAGTCCCAGTGGGTGCAGATGAGGTGCTCTGAGGAGGTCTGTTAACTGTTTCGACACTACACGGAACCTCCCATGCCCAACCTGCTGCTGATGCTGAATGCAAAGTTAGCTTTGGAGCACAGGGTCAATACGTAGCTGACTGAACACAATTCAAGCCCAGGGCCGGACGGAGACCTTCAGAGATCCCACCCAAAGAAAAGGCACAGCATCTCCCTGATTTAATTCAACACAAAAACAAGACCAAATGGTAAAAATACCAATAAGGAAGTCTAGCAAAGTCCTTGTCCCGCCCACCATTCCCATGATGACTTCTTTGTTGTTTGCTTGAAATTTCAAATATCAAATTCTTTAATGGTTTTTAATGCCCCTGTTTCAATAATCCTTAGGAATGTGCTTAGTGTGCCTTTGGGTAACCCAGAAGAGCCCAGATCCAATCAACGGATCCATCTCCTTCACATCCAAGGCTTCTATGACCATGAAGCCAATTTTCTGGGGCTCCTCCTCCTCTTTACCCCCCAAACCCTGCCAACCTCCTCACCACGGCAACCCCTGTCCTTTGATGCCTTTGCTACTTACTACCTGTTCTTCCCTTATCAATTCTTTGGCTTTTAAAAAAAGATAGTAATATCTGTATGATAATTTATTATAATGAAATAATAAAACATTAAAGGGAGTTTAGAAAAGGATAGGGTGAGAAATCACATGTGGCTTTCCTACCCTGGAAGAGCAACTTTGCCCCCTTTGCATATTCTCTTTGATTCTTAATTTCTAAGCATAATTATTCTTCTATAATTGTAACCATACTATAGAAACCATTTTCTATCTGCTTCCCCCTCCCCCACACACTTAATATCATATCAGAAACTTCCTTTTGGTGGTGACAAAGTTTACTTGTTTCCAGTGTTTAATGGCTGTGTAATAAAACCCCACTGAAGGAATGTGCCTGAATTTAACTGACCATTGCCCTATTGCTGGCTATGTAAGTTGCTTCCAATTTTGCTGTTATATTAATAGCTCTGAAATGCGCACTTTCGTGTATAGAAGGCCTTTTACTTCTTGAGGATTATTTTTCTTAAGATATATATCCAGAACCAGGATTACTAGGTTAATATAAAAATTATATAGCTTCTGGTTTTATCTATCTATCTATCTATCTATCTATCTATCTATCTATCTATCTATTTATATCGCCATGTTGTTTCCCAGAGGGACTCCAACAATTTGGATTACCACCAGCAATACATGATAACAGCAGGCCCAACAGACTCACACAATCTCATGGGAATCACATTTCCTTCGTACCCACACCTGCTAATTCTGACGTTTTGTACCTATGGGCCATGTTTTTACCATTACTGCACCCTTCCACGTCTCTCTGCCCCTTTCCCAAACCAAAATTGGGGAGTGGAGGGCTCTAACTTGGAGGCTACCTAGGAATAACTTAATAATAAGCCCTTATATGAATGTACTTCTTTATGTTTTTCAAAGAGTTATCCCATACACCATCGCACTGAATGCTCACAACCATCGCCAAGAGGAAGGGCAGCATTATTAGGTCAGCCAAGGATCACTGTGGGTTTCTCTCTTGCTCAAGAGGGCTGCCACTCATAGCCAAGCCCCTTTATGGCGACACCTGAGCAGGGGGAGAAAGCGTTGTACGTGGCACAACGAACCAATGACACCTGGGCCTTGTGAGTCCCTTTTCCCAGTGAACAAGGACATTCTTGTTCAAGAGGACTAAGGTGCATGAAATCTTGACCTTGAGCTGCTCCCTTGGTTCCAGGTAAACAGCCACTTCCACTCGCCTAGCCCTCCACAACCGGCTTCTGTTTACCAGACCCTGGAGGAGTAGCCTCCGTTTACCTAGAGGTTAATGTTAACTTGAGGAGAGAAAACTGACCCTGAATTTGGCCTCTGGAGTTGTGAGTTGTCTTTGCTCTTTTTTGAGTCTTTGCCCAATTGGTAAGAACAAGTCATGGCTGTTGCTACTTGTCTGCGTCAAAGAGAAAAACAACAACAACGGCAAAAAGATCAAATGCTGTGGACTCTTGCACGACGAGAGGGCCCCCACATAGACCAATTAGCTGAGCCCACGTACTTCTAAAGGAACTGGTCCCCACAGCGTACTTAGCTGCCTTCCCCTGGATTCTAGGCTATCTATGACATGAGAGCCACTTGAATGGTACCCGAGTCAGGGGCAAGATGGTGGAGAGCAGTCAATGCCACATGGCGTCTACTTTGGCTTTGCCTTTGGCCTCCCAGCTTTCTCTTCCCCCAGTCCTCTCCTTCCTGTTTCATCCTCAACGCTAAATCCCTGCTGAATTCTCTCAAAGGCTCCTGACAGAGAATATCTTGCTCTGAGTTTGCTGGGGTGGGGGGTGCATGAGTTGCATGCCGAACCTAGCCCACCGAAATGTTCACCTGGCCCACCACTGTGTGTCCTTGGGATAGTTTTAACTAGAAGTAGTTGCCAATAACCAGACAATGAAGACTTCTCATAAAAATCCAGAATTTCCATTTCTTTTGGGAAAGTCGGGCCCCATTGCTTCATGCCAGCTATCCAACAGAGCCAAGTCGTGGCTCCCTTTTTAGGTACTTTTCAGTCAGCCCCAGTCCCGTCCCTACGGTCTCCCTGATACAAGAACCAAGCAACAGGTGCCCTGGTGCTATTATTTTCCTTACAGTAGCATTAAGAGAGAGGGAACATTTTTGTATGCCCAGGTCATTTGTCTCCTTCAGGCCAGAGGTCCGGCCTCATGGACATCTGGATTGAGCCGTCCTCCTTTAGCACATCCCTGGCCCCCAAGCAGCAATGAGTTAGAACAAAAGCTGCTTCCCCCCAGGACCTCTCAAGTCTTATTCAACTCTATCAGCCTTCTCTTTGCGAGTCTCAGCAGCCACTCCCTGCTAACCTGGGGGTCCCCACCTACTCTCCTGCCCAACAATTTCAATGTCAAAAGTAATCTTGCAGCCTTGAGGAATCAAAGGAGGAGAGGCATTAAATTCTAAGGACAAAGCCTAAGGAGAATACAAAAGAGTGAAGGGGGCTGCCAGCATCCTGAGCCATACATACACCCTGGTGTAAGGGCCTCTGCAGTCAGAGAAATTACTTTTATTTATTTATTTATTTATTTTAAAGTAGGTTCCATGCCCAGTGTGGAGCCCAACGTAAGGCCTGAACTCACGACCCTGCAATCAAGACCTGAGCTGAGATCAAGAGTCAGATGCCCAACCGACTGAGCCACCCAGGGGAAGCATCTGATTCTTTGATCTCAGCTCTGGTCTTGACCTCAGGGTGGTGAGTTCAAGCTCTGCATTGGGCCCCACACTGGGCGTAGAGCCTACTTAAAAAAAAAAAAAAAAAGAGGGGGGTGGGAGGATGGGTTAGCCTGGTGGTGGGTATTGAGGAGGGCACGTTCTGCATGGAGCACTGGGTGTTATGAATCAACAAACAATGAATCATGGAACACTTCATCTAAAATTAATGATGTAATGTATGGGGATTAACATAAGAATAAAAAAAAAAAAAAGAATCGGATGCTTAACCGAATGGGCCACCCAGGTACCCCCAGAGATGTGACTTTAAATCACTTGCTAAGAGGCAGCTGAAGTTTCCTTCCATTTTAGTGTGGCATTTGATCTCGGATCTCCCCAGCCAGACAAAGCCAACCAAACCCTGGTTAGACAGCATGAAAATGCACTTCATTGGCCACCAGGGGGAGGGAATGAGCCCTGGGATGGCTTTGTGCAAACACATTGCAGGTCATTTGGAAAATCTCAAAGGAGGGACCATATTTCATTTCCACTTCTGAAGGGCTTTACAGGTAAACTACTCTTCTTACCCCTGGAGGTGCTACTGAGCATGGAAAATATTTAGGGCTTTCTTTTGCAAGGCTGAATTCAAATACAGGTGTCAAGAGACTGGAGGAAAGAATCATTTGGTGATTGATTAAGAATAGAGAGTAGAACATGTTTAAAGTTTTAACCGAAGTGGAACATGTTTAAAGTTTTAACCGAGTTTTTTCATCCTGACCTTCAGAGCCTGGACTGTTCTTTCAGTCTGTAGTACGATATACACCACTGAAGAGCTATCCTACTGTGTCTGCTGTGGACTCCCTTCTCTTCTGTAATCAAGACCTAAACCAAATAATAGGTTTTCCTGCACCTCCTCGCCTTTTCATCTTTTGGTCCTCATTCCCCTACCGGAAGCATCCCTCTGAAGGTTTCCAGTATCCAGCTCTTGGAAAAGGTCGAAGTAGATGGGGGGAGAAGATGTGGAGGTAAGACCTCTGGATCTTGCTTCCAGCTTTGCTTCTTTGACTTTGTATGTCATAAGAAGCCAAGTAATATCTCCTCCCTTATTTCCTTTTTTTTTTTTAGTATAGTTGATGCACAACATTACATTAGTTTCAGGTGTGCCCTCATTCCCTGTCTTTTCTGTGATTACAGGACCACTAGGAAGAGAAAAACTTCACATCTAGAAAAGTGCTTTGAGCTTTGATGCAGGCAGGATAAATTAAGATGCTTTTTACGGTCTTTTGGCTTTCCATTCTAGCCACCCTTGAAATCTCAGTACAGGGACTGAATGGGTTCTTAGCAAGACATGGACTAACAAGGGAGGGATGTGGGCGCTCAATTGCTCAAGGGCTGTGCCAGTAAAAAGTGCTGAGAATGACTGGCCCCATTCTCTGGAAACACTAAGAATCTTGCTGACTCCGATGACATTTTTTATTCTGCTAAAAGCTGAGAGGAAGATGCAATTTACGGGGCAGGCTCATGTCCAGCCATTTTCCGCACAATACTCAGTGTATCGCCAGCAAAGACAGATGGATCTGGATCCAAATCCCAGCTCTACTTACTAGCAGGTGACTGTGGGTGAGAAACTGAGCCTCTCTGTACCTCAGTCTTCTCATAACTAAAATGAGGATAATAATATCTATCTTGTGGGGTTATTTTAAAAGATTAAATGAGTTCATATTTATAATGCTCTTAAAGCAGTGCTTGGTTCAAAATAAAAGCTCTATTGTAAAATGAAAATATGGCAGTAGGGTTCGTGTACCTATTAAAAAACTTTTTGAAGTGCCTGGCACATGCTGGTGCTTAATAAAGGTTAGCTTCCTTCCCACCTCATCCCCAAATATAAGTTAATTTTTCCTAGCATTCAAATCCCAAAGGAGAACATTCCTCAAGCCTAGAAGAATTCTCCTTCAGGAGGTGAGAAATAATAACTGGAAGGGGGAGGGGGGCTGGAGAGGAGGGGTAGGGCTATTTGCAGAGGACTGTGCTGGCTATCCAAAACAGAAGCGTCTCTCTGGAAGATTTCTCCAGACAAAGGAAGAAAGGTGATCAGAAGGACCCAGCGATGGGGAAGGAGGCAGAGAGAGTTTTGCGATTCCCAGGGATCTCTGGTATCTAAGGAACAGCTCCCTGGGCTCACCGGGTTTGGGAAATCGAGGGAGGGCAGGAAGTGAGGGAAAGTGGGGACAGGAGGGAAAATGGAGCTAGGAAAAGAAGAGTTGGCGTGTGGGCAAGGTCTTGGCATCGGAGTTTTGAGGATGAGAAAGGGAGCGAAGGTATTTGAGAGCTGAACGCGAGTACAGGCCTGGGAAGAGATGAGCTACTGCGCCAAGGAAGAGCAGGGACCCGGAAGGGAGTGGCTTTGGCGGTAGAGCGCCATTGGCGAGGGCGGAGTGGGTAGCCCTGGGGAACTGGGCATCGAGGGGGACTTTGGGGGTATGACGGACCGGGTTTTCAGCGGGGAGACACTAGGTGGCCACGATCTAGGGCCAGCACCGGGTTTGGGGGGCTCTTACCCGCGATTCCTATTTCCCCGTCTTGCCCCCGCTCTGCTGCCCGTACCGCTCGCAACCACACCTGAGGGCCCCCTCCTCAAAAAGATTAAGGAGACACTCTCCCATTGGCTGCCCGACAACCCGCAAGCCCAACCCTCGCTCCTCCTAACTTGGGGTACGCCCAGCCCTCATATATTTGCATATAGGGCTTTCTAGGTCTTCGATTGGCCCCAGCGGTAGGCTGTCGTGCCCCCTCCCCTCCCTCCCTCCCTCCCGAATCCAATTAACCGCCCCTGCTCTCTGAGAGGGCAGCGCCCAAGGTTGTCCCGGGAGACGCGGAGGACGCCTGGGCCGCGCTCCCGGCGCTCGGGGGCCTCACTACCGCTAGCGCTGCGCGGGTCCCAGCCCTCCTCGGCCCGCGCCGTCGGGGCGTCGGGGCGTCGTGCGCAGGCGCAACCGGAGCCTCGGGGCCGGGCGGATTCGAACCGTCGGCCTCGTAAGCCGCGGCTGCTCGGGAGGGGAAGGCGGGTGGGTTGCGCTGAGCGGGGCCGCCCTGTACTCAGGGCCGGGGCGGGGATTGGGAGGGGAGAAGAGCCGAAACCAGGACCAGGGGGAGCCCTGCAGAGAGCACCGGATTGAGACCCCAGTCAAGACCTCAGGCATGTGTCATCGTGGGCAGTTGATAGCACCTCTCCGGGCTTAGCTTCTCTAACAGTAAAGTAGCTAATCGAAAACCTGCAATGAATCACTCTGGCTTCTTAAACCATGATATCTCAGAGTGGGGGGTCTGGCCGAGAGAGAGGGCCGCCCAGGGCTCTGGGGTCTTGGCTTCTTACAGCGACATTTTGACTGTCGTCTGGCAGGTAGGGAATCAATAGTGACTGGATTCAGATAATTGTGGTTTCCTTCCGTTTCCACCTGTCTAAGCCCAGACTAATGCGTGCCAGACTGCCTGCAAAGGATTGGCAGCCGGTAGAGCTGTTTCTGCCTGGATTAGTTCGGGATTGGTGAAAAAACAAAGGATCGATTTAAAATTTCTGAACCACGGTGTTTTTAGGAAACGGATTGAGCCAAAGATTCTTGTTGCCCATATCCATTCCTCTCCTTCTGGAGATTTCCAGATGCTTGAATTGATGCTACTGGAATGTACAATTAAAACAGTTAGCTGGCCCTCTGCCTCATACCTGCCCCCCAAACTCGGGGGGGTGAGTGGAGATCTGCAGTCAGGCAGGCTCTGTCCTTGGACGCATGGACACTCCAAAAATTGTGTAAACAAGTCTCATCAGAGGCCCATTTTGAAGCCCTAACTCCCACCCTTTATAAAACTGGTATATAATAAACCTTTATGCCTAGCTATTTGGACAGTTACTCACTACTGAGTGCTCTCATATGCATAGAAATAAACTGTTACCTTTTGGACCCAAGTTGGAGGAAGTTTTCATGCCAGCACAGGACACTGCCCTTTTAACCTGCTGATCTGCCCAGGCAGGAGCCTAGAGGCAAAGGCATGGCTTAGCCCCAAGCGGACAATGAAAGTCTAGTTCAAGATGCTTAAGTACCCTCTGCAGGGCCTGAGGTGGAACCAGCTGTCGGTCTGCTGTTCTTCCTGAAACCTCTCTGCCATCCTATCCTCTTCCTATTCCCTCTTCCCCCTTCCCTCCAGGTGGCCCTGGGCTATCTTGCCCCGCCCCCTCTCCAGGGCCCAGGAGGCCCAGGTGACCATCATCAACTGGCCACGGCAGATGCTTCCCTAGAGCCAACTGTCCCAGCTCTCTTCCCCTCCCCCCACCCCGCCTCTTTCTTTCCCCAGTGTCCTACCAATCTGCTCTGCCAAGCTCCTGCTTTGGTCTCGGGTCCCTCCGGAGTGATATTGTGATGGAAATGAGGGAAAGGATGCGGGAGGGAGCTGCAAAGATTTACAGCTTCCAGAGGATTTCCATTAAAATCCCTGACAACTGGTTATTTATGAGAGGGTTGGCTGCAGCGGGAGTTAATAGGCCAGAGGCTGGCACCCCTGTCCTTTCAGGGGTGATGACAAGAACAAACACGGGATGAACCATAGAGCTGCCCCCAATGGAGAGCAAAGCAGGCTCCAGCCCTATCAGGCATCTCCTCCAGGGCCAGAGTGACAGCCAGGAAATCAGAAAGCATGAGTGATTTGTGCCAGGCAAACCTGAAACAGAAAAATCCCTGAGGCCAGGGGCACCTGGGGGGCTCAGTCAGTTAAGCGTCCGACTCTTGATTTCTGCTCAGGTCATGATCTCAGGGTCCTGAGATTGAGCCCAGCGTGGGGCTCAGTGCTCAGCAGGGAGTCTGCTTGAGATTCTCTCTCCCTCTCCCTCTGCCTCTCCCCGTCCCCACCCTCATAAATAAATAAATAAATCTTAAAAAGGAAAAAGAAGACAAATCCCCAAGGCAAACGCCAAGGGTTTTTCTGGGCCTGGGTGTGAAAGTTTGAAGGAGTGTGTTGGAGTCTCCCTTCCAGTGGGCAGAAAATTGGGACTGTGTCCCCTCCCCCGAGCTCAAGAGGCAAGAGTGCAAGCGGGACTGCAGGACATAGGTGTGAAACTTGTTTTCACTGTCTTTTTGTTCCTAAAGCATTTACCTGACTGAATAATAAGACAATAACAAAATCCTCAGAATGTTGTTTGCTCTACAATTGACACCCAAGACTCTTTTCCTCAGTTTGGGACTCTTCCTCTAAGTCGTTAATGGGGAAAAAAAAGAGAGTCCCACTTTTGTCTGTGCCAGAGAAAGTCTTGGTATATGTACTGAGGATGGGATAGGGAGTGGAAATGAGACAAAGATTCTTAGAAGATTTTTTTTTTCCCATACCCCCAGATTTTATTTGATTTTGATTTTTTTGCTTTAAGTCTACAAGGTATGAAGGAATGTTGTGGAAGTGTGTACAATCACAGAATCAGAGTTCCTGTTAAATCAGAAAAGCTCTTATAACCGAGTATTTCCCTTGCATTTAGAAGAGGAAATCAAGGCTCAGAAAAATGTAGTGGCTTGACCAAGGCCTTGCAGCGGGTTCATAGAGCCCACTACTCCCTCCTTCACACACTCTTATTACTGTTACTGGTGAAATAGAAACAGAAACTGCTGCCCAGCCCTCCCGTTTTGACATATAGCTGTCGGGGCCAACAGAGCCCCTGGGAATGGGCTGCTTGCCCATGAGCAATGGAGCTTCCAGGCTTCTGACTTTATCTTGTCTCTCTGTCTTTCTCTTTCTCTCTCTCTCTTCCCCAAATAAATAAAATCTTCAACTAAAAAAATGTACACATGTTAAAGATTTTATGTAACTCAGTCAGTGAAGGAACTAGTCAGTCAGATGGTTCAGCTGGTTCAAAAAAAAGCAGCACAATTTGTCTGACAAAAGGAAAGCTGAAAGAAATTGTAAATGGATGAAAAACTGCTTTTTTTTTTCCCCCCCACAAGGAAAGGAGGGAAAATAGTCAAACCTCTATCAGACCAGACAGGAATTCCTTGCCTATCAGTTACCTACAATTCACAGAGTTGTAAAATAATTATCATAGAATCAATTCATATCAGCTAATCAAGGAAGGGTGTCCAACAGATTTTTCTCTGCAGACAACAGTTTTGAAAATATGGGTGGGATTATGAAATGTCTCTCTCTTTTTTTGTTTTACTTAATGCAGTTTTTAAAAACAAAGATAGCCCTCCCAAATTCTTACAGGGACCACCTTTAAATATTAACATTCCCTGAAGTGTTTAACAGGTGACTTGGTTTGTCCACACATTCTGGAAACAATGTAAGGCATACCTAGCTCCTATTTCTCCACAAGTTTATAAAACACCATACTTGACCTGCATATGGTGAAAGCCTAACAGCATCCCAACCTAGTTAGTAGTCTCCTTCTTTCCAATGATTATTCAATCCTTCTCTTTCTCAAACCTGGGCATAGAAATTCTCTCTACTTTGTAAGGCATCCAGTTGCAGAGTTCTAGGCGGTTACAGAGACAGCAAACTTCAGGGATAACTTTCCTCCCACCCTCTTTTTTGCATGGACTCTAGAGTCCAAAGGCCAGAGTCATTGCCACTGGGTAGAGCTGGGCAGGGCCGGAGCTGACGGCAGAGGTGAAACTAAGCAGCAGAGCTGCTTGGACACCTTGTAGGCTACCTCCCTCTTCTCCTTCCCATAGTCCACACCCCTGTCACCCAGATGCTGTGGATATGCACCAGCGAGGACAGTGATCACATGTGTCTATTTAAATTGCAGTCTGAGGAGCGCCTGGGTGGCTCAGTTGGTTAAGGGTCCGACTCTTGATTTCGGCTCAGTTCATGATCTCGGTGTCGTGAGATCAAGCTCCGAGTGGGGCTCATGCTCAGGGAGGAATCTGCTTGGGATTCCCTCCCTCCCTCTTCTTCTGTCCCTCCCCTTGCTCGTGCACTCTCTCTCTCAAATAAAGAAATAAATAAAATCTTAAAAAAAAAAAATAGGGGCGCCTGGGTGGCTCAGTCGGTTAAGCGGCTGCCTTCTGCTCAGGTTATGTATGATTCCAGGGTCCTAGGATGGAGTCCCCAGTCGGGCTCCTTGCTCAGCAGGGAGCCTGCTTCTCCTTCTGCCTGCTCTGCCTGCTGCTCCCCCTGCTTGTGCTCGCTCGCTCTCTCTGACAAATAAAATCTTTTAAAAAAATAAAATAAAATAAAAATAAATAAATAAATTTCAGTTCAATCGGGAATTTCCATGTCTGTGTGGGTTCCCCAGACATACATACATATGCTATTAAATCTGATTTTCTCCTGTAAAATAAATTTAAACTCCATAAAAAAACCCAGTTCCCAGTTGCAATAGCCACAGCTCAAGCGCTCGATAGCCACATGTGGTTAGTGGTTACCAGATCAGATAGTGCAGATACTGAGCATTTCCATCGCCGTAGAGAATTCTACTGGACAGCACAACTGTAGATGACTACCCCCTCCCTCCACGTCAAATTTCTCTCCCATCCCCTTTTCTGCAGGCCAAGTTTGGTATTCAAATAAATTAAATGTCTCCTTTGACAAAGACTCTCTTTGACCAACTTTAGTCAGCTAGGTTCCTCTGAGCCCTTTTCTTGACTAGGCTTCAACCTTGGGCTCCTATGTCCTTGCCAAATCTGTAGCTGGGGCTCAGGGTGCAAGGGCACCTGGTTCTGGGGCCCCCAAACAGACCAGGTTCTGCCACTCACCACTGACAAATCCAAAGGCAGAGAGACGAGTCATAGAGAAACAAGAAAGGAATTTATTTCAGGGAGGCCAACACGAGAAAGACAGTGGACAGTTTCAAAGACCATCTCCAAAGTCCTGAAAATACTTGCAGGCTTATATAGGGAAAATGTGGGACGACAGTCAGTGGGTACAAACAGGTGGGCAGTAAAGGTCAGGTCGATCATTGTCTTGGGGTTGGTCATGCAGAGTCCTGCTGGCTCTGGGCAGTCCTTGTTGCTTGATGGGGGTAGTTTCAGTTCCCATCACAGGATGCTTTACCTGCAGGGTCTTTTGCCTGAGTTAAGAGATAGGCGGGAAAGAACTTAATTAGAAAGGACAGACTGAGGTCAAAATGGAGGTAGTTGAAGTCCTCTTTTAAGTCCAATTTCAGCAAAAATCCTAAATCAGCTTAGAGAGAATCCTTATTCTTTTTTGTTTGTTTGTTTGTTTGTTTTGTTTTTTTATTTATTTGACAGAGAGAGAGATAGCTAGAGAGGGAACACGAGCAGGGGCAGAGGGAGAGGGAGAAGCAGGCTTCCCGCCGATCAGGGAGCCCGATGCGGGGCTCAATCCCAGGACCCTGGGATCATGTCCTGAGCCGAAGGCAGACACTTAATGACTGAGCCACCCAG